CCAGTTTTTGGTGTGCTAATGCAGGTGCGAGCACATATGCTGGCTTGTTTTTCCTACGAGTACCTCTCAGAAGCTTCCACCAGCATGAATAGTTTCACACAACCTGGTACCTGCCAGCTCCCTCGCCATAACTCCAGATTATTAGTATTAAAATTGTCAAAGTGTGTAAAATTCTAAAAGTCTTCACACATTTTCAGCAGAATCATGTCCACCGACCGGCAAATTTTATTAGAGCAAAATCCTCGAATAAAATGTAGTTTTTTTCTTCTCTAGAACTGTCTCACTTTCAGTGTGTGTGTGTGTGTGTGTGTGTGTGTGTGTGTGTGGGCAGTATTTTCTACTGGAAAAAGGACAGAGTAGTTAGATGTAATCTGAATACTCTCTCTTCTGTGGCGCCTGTAATGAAAAACAGCATTGCACTTTTTGTTGTTTTTTTCTGGTCAGACGCCAAAATAAAACCTAACACATATCTTTGCACATGAGGCTCATCATGTCGACGCTTTTGCCGCCAACATTCTACCCCAACATGTAAAAAAACATTCAGCAGACTAAATCCTAAATGGTCAGAATTGGTAAATAAACCGATGACTGCAAATTTGGGGTTCGCACCACCTTCACAGGAAGTAAAACTGAACATCTGAAAGCAACCAAACTTGATCAAACTAATGTTCTGGTGGAAGACTCCATGTTGCATGCATTTACAACGTAGATGCAACAGCAACTCCTGCCGAAGTTTCTGTTTCTGCGGTAATCCCAGCTCCTCCTTTTACCTAATCAAACCTGGGATCTCCATGGTCATTTGTTAAGCCCTGGAACACAGGCGGGGGGGATTAAGTGGTGGAAGGGTTTACCCCCTCCATAAATTCCTGGGAAATTGTTCAATTAATTAAGATGATCACGACTCAATTACTACCAGCTGCAGGGTTATTGCCATTTGTTTTTACTCTGAGCTGCGAGGTCAAAGAAGTCGAGGAGAGCTGCCGCTATGTCTGACTGGCTGTTTGAATAAGTGGCATTTGATACCCGGAGGGCCTTTTTTTCTTTACAATCCTCCAAACTTGGAGAAACTGAAGAAGGGAGAGAAATTCTGGAAAAATGTTCCACTGTAGGAAAAAATACGGCACAGCCTGATGTGTGTGTGTGTGTGTGTGTGTGTGTGTGTGTGTGTGTGTGTGTGTGTGTGTGTGTGTGTGTGTGTGCGCGGGGCGGAGAGAGAACCAAAGATAGATGTTGACTTTTGACAGATTTGAGAATCTTGTAGTTTAAAAATAGGATTTTAAAACAAAAGTAAAAGGACAATTCAGCTACCTTCACATGATGACTCCAGTGTTATGAAAAAGCATTGTTTGTATTATGGAGAATGTTGGTGATTGCTGTGCATTTATTATGATACTTAATATTAAATAGCCTAACCAGGGTGTCCCAGAATACGCTGTTAATGGGAGGATTTATCAACCTTCATCACCACAGCACAGCCGATGCAGCTCAGAGCTGGGACCACAAGGAAGTAAAACCCAAAACACATCTGGACAGAGGTCGTTCCAGACAGGACCAGAACAAAACACGGAGCTCACTCCTAAATGACCGGCAGCATCACAGAAGTTACTAAAGACCAAGTTCACTCACTCTTTCCAGACATTTGCTGTATTCTCTAGTATTAATGAATGCCTTATCAGTCAATCTCTGTGGGGAAAAAAGCTCTCATGCTCTGGCTTCAACAAATAGAAGTTAGCCGGAGGAGAGGGCAACAGACAACAGCAGAATTAGGAGTCTTACTCATTATTATTTCCTGATATTTGGACATCTCTCCTCTGATTGGCTAACAGCAACACGACTTGACCACTGACTATGTTTGCTCTGCAACGTTGATGTTTTATCTCCACAAATAACATAAGCTTGAAGGAGTTCTGCCGAGTTGTGGAGTTGCTAATGCTAATGATTAGCTTCTGCTAGCGGAGATGTGCTCTGCTCTCTCCTAGATGCTAAAACAACAACACCCAAGAGTCGCTGAATGCTATTTTTCAGTGTGACGTCTGTCAGGCTTTTCTTATTCTAGAGTTTCACTATTTTCTATGAGAAGCTAATGCAAGGAATGGGGTAGATGTTCAGCTTGCATGTTAAACTCAGAATGACTGATTGTATTTAAAAAAATAAAGACGGTTTCTCAGTGAACTTATTTAATGCCCAGATTTAAATAGATCCAGTCTGGGTCTCTCTTAGCTATACGTGTCTTTTCTATACTTTCAAATGAACAAGAGACTGGATTTTGCAGCAGCAATATAGACGTGTAATCTTAAAAGGTGTAAAAAATGAAGTCACATTGACCTGTTTTATGATACACAACGTAATACATGTGACAGCCCCTTCTAGTGGACAACTTTTGTTTCTGCGCATACCTGTAGCTATCGTCCATTCATCGTTATCGAGGTGAAATCCTCAATATATCGTGATACAAATTTTAGGCCATATCACCCAGCCCTATCCTGTAGCATTTGGCATAGCTAAAGGACTCAATTTGAAAGATAAAATCCAGGAACCTGGTGGGCCTTGGAGGACAGGAACACACGATAACAAACTACTCTGCTGACATATGTAACACAAGCATTCATCAGCTTTAAAGGTGCGCTTAACCAAAAAGCCTTTTTTAATGATTATTTCTGATTTTAATCAGTCACTCTGAGTTTTTATGCAGGCTGAACATAGAAAATAGTGAAACCCTAGGATGTGAAAAGCCTGACAGATCTATGACACACACATTAACATTCATGGACTCACCCATCTTGGCATGTGACGTGGAAGATAGGGCCATGCGAGCTGACAATATAAGATCATTAGGATTATAATGTGATGACGATCTAGCAAAGCTCGGAGATCGTAGAACGTCTATTTGCATGCAATCACCCGTCTATGCTATTATTTCTGGACGCGTCTACTGGCACACAACATTTGTTGTTTTTCTCTCAGCCAAGTCACACCATTTGCTAGTCTTCTTCTGTTGGCAAGTCAGACACACCGATGAACTAATCAGAACAGGACTTAGGCAGCATGTTGCTTTTTTAACTGGGGTGCTCAGTAAAGCTGAAGAAAATGATATAATAAACGATACATTAAGATGTGGACATAAATGAATATGAACCGTTGATGAAGCCCACCATAATCGATTAGCGCTAGCAGCTAGCTGCTAACTTGCTCCGTCCCTAAGCGGTCGTTTAGTGTATTCTCAAGTGTCTGCTAAATCAGGAAACCTCTGGGTCATTGTTCTGCAGTAAACTTTGTATTTGGCTTCACGGTTTTTATCATTTGGGACGTTCATTTGTGTTTGGGCGAGCATTTTCACCTTGGCTGCTGACCGGAGTTCTGTTTATCTCTGTGTGGATAGACGGGCCAAACCCCTCCTCCATGTAGTCAGGAAACAAAACAGAGAGCGGTAAGGCCCAAATAGCAGGAGTGTAATCCTCTGAGTAGAGTATGCAAATTACATCATGAATTTAGCTTAACATGATAAAAAAAAAATTCTCTGGACAAGAAATCATTACTGGTAATTTTATGAATGATAGGATACCCCTAGGGGAAGGCTTTGTTGGTTAAGCGTCCAAGAAACAGCAGAACGCGTCTTAACAAATAGAAGCTAATCATTAGCATTAGCAACTCCACCACACAGCAGAACTCCTACAGGCTTATGTTATTTGTAGAGATAAACCATCAACACTGCAAAGCAACAGATTAAGTGTTAGAGTCACGTTGCTGTTAGCCAGTTAGCTGCGATATGTCCAATAATCAGAAAATAAGACTCCGAACTCTGCCGTCTGAAGCTCAACCCAAGTACGACTTACAAGGCATTCACTCATACTATAGACCACAGCGTGAGTAAAGTATTACTTTAAAACCTCTCCTCGACTCCCAACATTGCTGTGCTATATTTCCTGAGTTCTACAGCCTTACAGATAAATGAGTTTTTAATAGTTAAGTTTCATCGAGGGATTGGATAGCTCCACACAATAAAACACAGGGATGAAAAATGTTATCAAATCCATCCTAAGAAAAAAGGGAATCTAGTCTTTTACAGGGATAGGAGCAAATCAAATTCAGGTTATGCATTTAGAGTCAAATCACAACAAGAGTCGTCTCAAGACACTTCACAAAGTAAACATTCCAATTGAGTTGAGTTCATTATACCAATGAGTTCAAAGTTTCCTATGTAAGGAGACCCAGCAGACTGCATCGAGTCACTGACTTGTGTCAGAAACTTAATAGCAATCCTCATATTGAGCAAGCATGCAGCGGGGGTGGAGAGGAAAACTCCCTTTTAACAGAAACCTGGCTCAGTATAAGCAGCCATCCTGCTCGTGTTGCCCTACTAATAAGAATTGTAATGCTAGAGGTGACACTTTTTCCTAAAGCTCCTAACAAATTGTTGATTGACTGAGGAGTGCGCACCCCGCGGCTCTCACTGACACTCGTGTCGAGGCTTGATGAAGAATACGCCCATCTGGCCGAGAGTCAGGCACATTCTTCCACAGCAACTTCACACTGGGTAGTTTTCAGAGATGTGCCGCAGACCAAATAAAAATTGTTGAGGTTTAACACACTAATATTTGGTGTTGGTCAGAAAGCACGTCTTGCAAAACAAGATTCCAGGAGATAATTAGCTCAGAGTCTGCAAGGGATGAAGGTTTTCTTCTTGAGTTTTTGATGAGAGACGAAAACGTTCCTTTTCATGCTTCAGCATTAATATCAGCTTATGTCAAGACTGACCAATAGAACCGTAAGGAACAAATGGCTTGACATACTGCCCACCAGAGATGGTAACATAAAATAATCTAATCCTACATTTTCAGTCTCAAACCACTACTTCCAGTTGAAAAACACTGCAACAGCACCATCAGCACCAAATAAGATCTTCCCATTTCTGTTGATGAGTTCCAACACTTGACTAGTGGTTAAAGGATCAGCCTCCGGTCTAGGCTGAGATAATAAGTGTGAGGAAAGTGAGTACTTACAGAAAGAGTGCTGTGATGTTTGAAGCACTGGGACTCAGATCCGGTATCATCTCCAGTTCATTGTGATTTAAATTTCTTTACAAGAAACAGAAATCAATACAACAATAATCAGTTCCGTGCAAAACAACACTGAATGAACCATGAAAAAAGCACACTTACATTTCTCTCAGATGATGTAGCTGATGAAACAAATTCTTATCAAGCGTCTGCAATTTGTTGAGACTCAGGTCTCTGTGAAAGTAAGGAAAAGTTACGTGTTGCATTCTTCTAAAATACTTCCATCTTTAATTTGATTTGAGAAGTTCTTCCTGTGAAGACTTGAAGTAGATCAAGGACACAATAATCACTGTGTGGGTAGGAGGAATGTTTCAGAACGTACGGTCAGGAAGCAACACCGTTGGTGAAACGGAGAGAAGTCACAAGGAAGGAATGTTGAGATTGAAGTAGAAATGTGAATGAGACAGTTCCACACAAAAAAGTCTAATATGGGCTTTTTTGATGATTAGTTGGATGAAGAGACCTCCATTATCCTCCAGAACCTGATCCCAGAGGGCGCTGTCCACATTAGAACTCAAAGAACTTTCTTCAATCCTTCAGAATAAAAGTCTCTAACATACACCTGAACCTCTAAGCACCCGAAGCCTATTAAACTGAGCTCTACAGAAATGCAATGAATAATACATGCTTTTCATAAGCTTTAGATATTTTGAAGTATGCTATTAAAGGTGTGGTTGACTGAATTCGGAATATAATCTGTCAAGTTTTTTCATGCAGGCTAAACATGAAAATCTACACCTATCTCCTGCATTAGGTTCTGATAGAAAGTAAACGGTGAAAATCTAGGATTCTGACAGATCTACGTCACATTATGAATTGCCATTCATGGACTCACTAATCTTGACACACAATGGGGAAGGCTGTTGTTGTTTAAACGTCTGGTAACCAGCAGACGTCTAGGCTAGTTTAAGCTAACCTTTAGCATCAGCAACTTCACCTCATTAAAAAAGTCCTTCATGCTTGTGTTCTTTGTGGAGATAAAACATCCACGTTGCAAGGCAATGGTAGTGCCGTGTTGCTGTTATCCAATCTGGGGCGAGATGTTCAAATATCAGCAAATAAGGCACAAAATCTGCAGCCTGAAGCTCAGCTGTGATGTCGCAGACTTGTACCTGCTGAGCCAGGGGTGTAGGCCTTTTTGTGCCCTGAGTACTGTCTGCAAGGCATTCATTCCTACTAATGACCACTGCAAATGTATTCATTAAACAAGTAATCCACACTTTTAAGTGTGTGTTGGAAACGTTTATCTCTGATCAGTCATTCTGTCTTGCCCAAGATGCCAAAACGGGTTAAAGCCCGGGCCACACAGTGTGTTCTTTAGCCATCCTAGACAAATCTTTCATCAAGAACAGAATCATGACAAAAACTGGTGAACGTGAGGGTGATTTGCAAGTCGGTGGCAAGCACCGATCTGCCCCCTCACTATCCTCTGTGTGGCTGCTTTGCATTTCTGAAGCAAAGTAATTTAATGACCCAAAATTAATTCACTTGCACAAATCTTTCAGTAATAAAATACAACTGAACTCTTTCAGTAACGATAGAGAATCAAAATACTGCAGACAAAAAACAAAACCCTAAATGAATGAATTAATGGAAAAGACAGGTCTGTACCAGAGGAAGTGATGTCGTTAAATGGTAGAAATGAACTTTTAGTCTAAAGAAGAATCTTTAATCTCTTGTTTTTATTTAATTTATTGATTATTTAACATTTTGCATTCAATAGAGTCCAGTTAAGTTACAGTTTGGCTCCAAACATCATCAAAGCTAGTACCGAGGGACAGACAGCTTGTTTAGGTCGTTAAGGATTAAAATCTGTTTATTACACAAGTCCAAACTCACTCAGACAAAACAAAGTTATAGGAAACAACTATAAAAAATGAACAGAAATCAGCTGCTGCTGTAATCTTTTACAGACTAATTTATGTGAGCTATGACTGGATTCGTCCAACTAAAAGCAGCAGAGAGGAGAGAGTGAGTTACACACGGAGAGACACCAACACAGGCAGGAGAAACTTTTTGACACAACACCGGGCTAACTTGTGCACTATTTCATGTGCTTATTACACACATATAGAAATTGCATCTATGTGCTACTCATAAATGGTCCAGGTTCTGCATCTCTTTCTGTCAGGTCCCACCTTTTATTTTCCTCATTACTATGTTTTAATCCTTCATAAAATAGATTTGGAACTTTTTTTAATTGATCCAGAGTTGTCTTTGCATCACGATGCATACAAAACAACATAACCCTGATCACTAGATGCATATGTGCTTCTTTATTGTTTGAATATTGCTCAGTCAGTTCTGCTCTGGCTTTGGTATTGTCTCAGCCCCACTTTGGATCTTGGCTTAACCTGACAGATCCAGCTCGCTGGGTTGTTTTACACAGAGTTGGCTGCAGCTTACAGTGTGTGTGTGTGTGTGTGTGTGTGTGTGTGTGTGTGTGTGTGTGTGTGTGTGTGTGTGTGTGTGTGTGTGTGTGTGCTTGTGGACTTGTGTTGGCTGCCTGTTTTTGAAAATGAGCCTGAAACCCTGCTCAAGCAAGAGGTCTGGCACGCGGAGCCTCATGCACCATAAAGCATCGGAGTTACTGACGCTGCTGTGCACGATCAGCGCTGTGGTGCCAGACACTTTTTTCTTTTACACCTCCCCCTCCTTCTTACCTCCCTCATCTGGAATCCATCAAAGAACTCAGAAATGGGGGGGGGGGGGGGGGGGGGGGAATGCGCGACTAACAACTAGTAATGTATTCACAATTACGGGAAAAAAGCAAGAGAGGAGCCTTTCAAACATCTGAGACACCCCTGCAGAATTTCTTTTCCCCGTTTTTGTTCTTTAGCAGAAACTTTCAGGAACTCATCAACCAGCCTTTTTCTTGCTTCTTGCTCTTTATTCTGTTTTTCTGTAGTGATGAGAGGTTTAACTGGAGTGTTGGGAGCTATGTGGGAAAGGTGTCCTATCAGACTCCTGAGATAAACTTTGAGTAGACCCTACACTTCCATTTCCTTCACAAAGCAGCCTCTGAGAGGAGCAAGATAACACATAGTGCTGTGTGCAGGCTGCGACCTGCATCTGCTGCTTTGGTGAAAACACACCACACAGTTCTCTTATCAGGCACTAAAAAGTGAATGAATAAGCCACTCCTAAAGCCAGGAGAGCTGTCAGTAACGTTCACACTAAAACACAGGAGATTTATTAAAATATGTCAGTAAAACTAAACTAACTGTCCAAAGGAACTTAAAAAAAAACTTTTGTAGGTATGACCAAAAGTGTGGTACTGTCATGCTTTACTATTATGATTTAATAACAACATGCATTTTAGAGGGTTGAAATGATCATTTAAGCTTTTTTAGCTCTGGCGTTAGCTTGAGTGGCTAATTAAAACTGTAGCTAAAGTTAACTAGATATTGGGGCGACGGTGGCACAGGAGTTAAGTGCTCGCCCCGTAATAGGAAGGTTGCAGGTTCGAGTCCCGCTCAGTCTGTCGCTGTCGTTGTGTCCTTGGGCAAGACACTTAACCCACGTTGCCTGCTGGTGGTGGTCGGAGGGACCGGTGGCGCCAGTGCTCGGCAGTCTCGCCTCTGTCAGTGTGCCCCAGGGCAGCTGTTGCTACATCGTAGCTCATCCCCACCAGTGTGTGAATGTGTGTGTGAATGGGTGAATGACTGATTGTGTTGTAAAGCGCCTTGGGGGGTTCCAGGACTCTAGAAGGCGCTATATCAAATACAGGCCATTTACCATTTTACCATTGCAAATAAATAAGTAACTTTTCATATATTTATCATTTATCGTATCTTTTTGGCAAAACTTAATATATTTGTGAATATTTACATAAATAAACTAAGTCAGCTATGTGACCTCAGGTCAGATATTTCAGCTGTTAGACTAATGGGCCATTCCCATCTGTACCGGGTCGGCCCGGGCTGGGTAGCATAGGTTGTTTACATATCTGGGTGGCCTGGTATTTTTCCGGGCCAACCAAGGCTCATTCTCAGCCCTCTTCTCGAGGGGGTCTGCTTCAGGCCGACCAGGGCCAACACACCCACTGCTGACAGCAAATTCACACCTTCCATTAGAGCAAGCCTCTGATTGGTGGGTAGAATCAGCCCACATGGGCTTAAGGCAAGGATGTGTGGAATCAACCGGGCCAGGCTGGGGCCGACTGGGGCTACCTGGCCCGGGCCGACCCGGTACAGATGGGAATGGCCCATAAGGTGTTACAAAGACAAATGCACAGCGAGGTTTTGGTTCTACAAATGGACACTAGAGGGTGCTAAAAGCAATTCAAAACTGCCTAGTTCACCTTTAATTACATTTTGGTTCAAATTAAAATATAATTATGTTAACTAAGTCAGCGGTGTCCAAAGTTTTCAAGGCATTGGCTAACATCGCCAAGTTAAAGAGACAATGTGTAATTTTTACCATTAATCTCAGGAAATGTCCATCAAAATGTTGTTAAAAATGAATGAAATGATTCCCAGTTGTTGAAAATTATTGGCGGCTTTCTAACATATAACCATAAAAATCAGGTCTAAAATACATGGGAGTGGGTCTAAGTCTCTGGGCGACGCCATGTTTCTACGGGAACCTGTGAGGACAAAATGCAAAACTTTCACCATTAATAAATGCTATTGTTTATTTTATTTTTCCTCTCCGCTCATTGCCAGTGATGAAAGGGAGTGTGATATGCTTGTCATTTTGATGTAGGTTGTGCTCCCAGGGATTTTTGACCCTAATGGCCATCCGTTGGTAAGGTCTTACTCAAACACAAAAATATTGCTAGCTTGCAATGATTTAGGTAAGTACTGCCCCCTTTTAACAGGAAAAACACACACTGTCACTTTAAATGCACTCATGGGTCAAACTTTTAAAAATTTAAATGGCAAAATGTAAAACATTGTTACTGTGACATGTCTTCCTGTGTAACACTCATTGTTATTGTATGAATATTTGGGTTTTTGATCAAAAATATCTGTAAATATGGGAGTTAAAAAGGATCTAGTATTTTTTTAAAGCACCACATTTTCTGGATTATGGGTCAGTTTTTTTCTATCCTTTTGGTCTTTTGAGATCATTTTCAGCAACAGGAAAAGGTTCTTGGTTTCTATAAGTAGTCAGGGTTGAAATGACGGATATTTATTTTTCTGTTGCTGACACTGATTCCGACATGTACGAGAAATGGCCAGTTGATGGCCGATATGTACTTCCGGTTTTTATGGGCTGATTTTCATGTCTGATATCCAGACATTTTCCACCTTATTTTCATTCTAAAATGTGACTAATTCCAGTTGATGGACAAAATTTCTGAAGCAGAATCAGTTTTTGAACTCTGAATTTAACCAACTGTTAACTCTTGATTGTGCACTGCTCCGTCAGACACCTAAATAAAGTTAATTTAGAGCATTTATTGTGTAGATGTTATTAGTGAATAGAGGCCGATATATTCCATTTTTCTATATAGGCAATCAGTCGAAATTATTTTTTAAATCAGATAGAAAAAAATCAGGCACCTGTGTGGCCAACTGCTGCCACTACTAGACTGAAGAAAGGACCCAAAGGACCCCAACACACTTTGTGTTGAAATAAACAGTAAAATGTGTTTCCTCATCTTTACATGAAAGAACATGCAATGTTGATTTAGCCTTTAAAACATATTTATCAAACTCGTCACGTAACCCGTTTAGCATTCTACTAGGCTTGAAACATGTTGGCTTCAGATGCTAGTTAGTTTAGCACGCTGTTCAGCCTCAAAGGCAAGCGCCAGAGTGATTACATTTACTGGGGTTTGTTAGTAAAATCTAGTCAGTTGGTAGAAGGCATAAACGGAACATTGAAGATTGCAAAACATTAGAGGGGTTAGGGTTAGGGTTGGGCATCGAGCATCGGTTGGAACTGGGACCAACTGTCAGTTTTCCCCAGAAACGTCCAAAGATTTAAGTTTCGATTCCTAGCTTCGATGCCCAGTCCGCCAACCGGAAGAAGAATCTGCAGAATAAATGTCAGTTAAAAAAACGTGATCTGCAAATTCTGATCAACGCCTCTCAGAGTCGGTCAAACCAGCTGTCCGTCGCTGCTACTGTGGAGCCTAGAGATACCCTATATGCAGCATCGCATCGCCCCCTTCCTTCCTTTCCCTCAGACTGTAGGTGTGCAGCGGCAAAAATGTAAACAAACATATCTGCCTAAGTTTAACTCCATGAGACTGTTGTTAAGTTTGTATCCTGCAACAAAAATACGGCACGGAGGAAGCTCTTTAAAATGTGTGAAGACAGTAGATTTAATACGAGTTTTAAAGAAGAAACTCTGGGTGGAGCGAGGCGAGTTTGTAAGGCTTGCTGCAGAAATAAAAATACGGAGCAACCAACGATCGTCTGTAACCGATAAAATAATAAAGAGCAACATGCATCATCAGCAGCTTGTGATGACACTTGGTTCTGCTCACTAGGAGCTGCGACAGGTATTAAGTAAATAAATATAATAATAATGATACTCATATAAATTTCAAAACACAGAGTTGAGATGATAGTTTTTCCTTTCGAACTATTTTGTCTCTTGAGAGTTTAAATGTTTTAAATCTGTTACATTGTTACTGACAGCAGCTACATTTAAGTTTCAGTTTTGACCTGGTTGCTGTAGAAATGGTTAGGTGTAGATTAAGAGGAAATTAAGAAATGTAATGACTTATTTAATTTATATTGCACGCAGTGAGTGTTCAGTTGTCTTTCACAATCAATGTGCTGCTAAAACGTATATATCAGCCTTAATAATCGGCTTTAGACATGGGCCATCGGCAACAAAATTCTTTAAAAATCGGTATCGGCCTTACAAAAACCACATCGGTTGGCCTCAATTAGTGAACATAAAACTTCATTTAAATTCAGTTCTGCAACAGTACCTGGCTGCCTGAATATGTGCCTGATACTAATTCTGCTTTACTAAAGACAAATATCGGCCAACGTCGATGTACAAAAAACCTTAGATATCGGCCCGGTCTACCCCTAGTCAGTGTCGGGGTTAGTCAACGAGGATTTTAGTTTTGTTGACCAGGAAGTTTAACTAAAAGCCATAAACTGGTATAGGAGACTACCATATACTGTAATGAACATTCTTCATTAAAAAAAAAACATTTAATTTATGCAAATTTCTTTTAATGCTTCATTGGATGCCAACTGAAACTTTTACAAAAGTGTTGATCTATGTTAGCCTGCTGGTGGGACACAGTTCTAGTTGAGGGACACAGACCACACTTTGGACCCCTCTGATCTAAAATAACAAAAAGCAAATTCAGCACAGCTTAATACAGTGTATTTATTTATTTGTTTTGTTTTGTTTTTTCGGGGGAGACAAATCAGAGTACAGCTCTAAACTTTAGCCCATTTCTCCTGAACCACGTCTCAGATATGTGACCTAATGTGATTTTCCTTTTTCATCCCCCTTTTCCTTCGGTGAGTTTGCAAACTAGTCCTGCACACTCATCCTTAATCAGAACCATAGCTGGCTCTGGTGTTGCTAATTCAGCAGAAATAATGGGGTGCTGGAAAACAAAGGGTCGGGCGGTTTAAGGGGTTAAAGGTGTGCTAGAGAACCACTCGTAAATTAGCATGCCAGAGTGAAAAGAATTTTTCCCCCTGTGTGGAACTTTTATTTATTTATTTATTTATTTATTTTTTGTAAGAGCAGGCTTTGGTTATGAGGCTCAGGCTGGGTCTGTTTTCTCTGGCAGCTCCAAGTTTCCAGAGCCAGCACATTTTAGAAGAAAAACTGAATTCAGTTTCAACCAGGCACAGAATCAAGTGCTGTAGCCTAAATATCAAGTGGTTCAGACGAAGGCAGAGCCGTAAAAATCCATCAGGAAACATTTTCTGCTCAGTGGAATGGTTTTTAAAAGGCCTTGGAGTGAAACACACTGATCACTACTCATGAAAATGGGATTTAACCATTTAACCACACCGTAAACCAGCAAAAACACAACAGATATATTTGCAGCAATTATTTCTGACAGGAGAACAAAAACTACACAGATTAACAGACTTATTGTTATTACTGCAGCTGGTGGCAACATCTATGGGTCCCCCAAAAAAATCTAATCACAAAACAAATGCTTTCAACCAGCTGGAGGATCGTTTGATGTTAAACTATAATCTAAGTATAATGGTTGAGTTGGATGAGCAGAGAGGCTGGGTGAATTAGTAAGGTACTTTCTTCATTTTCAATATCAAAAATACCAAAACAAGAAATGTGAAAAAATAAAAGAAATAATAATGTTTAGTATATTTCTGATTTTAAAAGTTGTTGCTAATGTTTAACATAAAATTGTATTTTTGTGTGGAAAAAGCTCATTATTTGTGACATGCTTTAAGTATTTTATCAAATCAAATTTAAAAAGACAAAGCAAACGTTTAAGCCAGATTTATAAACCAGGTTCAGATAATGAACCTGGTTTATAAACGTTCTGCCTCCTCCATCCACTCAGTGCATGCAGCAGCAGCGGTACTAAGGGGACTGACTCACAGCTGGACCGTCCACTCCGGGATTGGCTCTGGAATTCGGCCCCTTTTCAGCCGACTGCAGTCCACACGGTCCCCGGAGCAGGCGCAGGGAGGGGGGCACGTCCCTGTGCTGGCCCCGCATCCACGCTCCAGTCCCAGAAAAAGCAGGAAAAGCAGCGAAAACCTCACTAAGCTGCGAGGCAGCGTGAGTGGACGCATTGTCTCCAGATACACGACCCGATACCTTCAGATGAAAAGCAAATCAATCCCAAGAAAAACAACCTAAAGATTCCCTAAATGGTGTTTTATCCACGCGCTCTGATTTTATATCCAATCCCTCGTTGCTCTGTGGACAGGCGTAACAGAAAAGCGCTCATCTCTAACTTTCCCATTGAAGTGTGAAAACTTTTCTCCGAGCAGATCACTGTGCTGTTGGGGCAACTTGTGCTGAGCAGGAGCCCCACAGCGGAGCGCGAGCACAAACCAGAGGTATGCAGGGGGCGGGGCCACGGGTGCATGGGAAATGTAGTCCGTGGATTCTGATGCGGCTCTAATAGGTAGAGATTTATGATGAGCCCCTCTGATTCCCGCCCTATCATAACTATATTACCTTTTTAAATCCCAGCCCCACTTGCTTCATTGTGTTTATCACTACAGACTAACCTTACAGCTTGTCTTCTACATATATTTTATAATTACTGTCGATTCCTTGAACGATAAAAGGCCCGCATTGTATGGCACCTGTCTGAATCAGGGGACTCCAAAGTGCTTTACACTACAATGTATCATTCATCCATTCACTCACACATTCACACACTGATGATGATGAGCTACAATGTAGCCACAGCTTCCCTGGGGCGCCAAATACCCCTGACTGCAGTTTGCAGATCGGGGAGGGGCGCAACGTGGGCGCCATATAGACAAAACCCATGTAGAGGCCGGCGCTATTTTAGATAGATCTCCTTCGCCCCCCCAGTGCATTCATTTCTACAGAGGAGTGTGCTTACACAACTAAAAAAACACATTTTATCAATGTTTTTCACAAAATCAGATATGGTATGGCATGATAATTAATATATAAATATAATTAAACTAAACAAATTAAAATGTAAAATCAGTTGCTCATTCTGCATTGACTTTGGAGAGTGAGGAGACCCATCCGATATGGCGGCGATGCTCTCCAGCGCCCAATCGTCTATGAATTCATGTCTATGATGTCAGCATAACAATGATAATCAAATAACCTGTTTGGTGGATTTCAATAAAATATATAGAAAGCCCAGATGATTAAGTTAGATGAAATAGGTGCCATTTTTGACTCAAATCTGTTCTGATGATCTTATTATTCTTTATTCTACTCTTTTGTTTGGTATTTATAGTATGTCTTAACTATTTTGGTACCATTATTTATTATTGCACCTGACACCAAGACAAGTTCCTCGTGCTGTAAACTGACCTTTACTGCTATTGACAATATGAACAGTTCTGACTCTGACATGCTACACCTAAGCTTATAATTAAATAAAAAGCTTTTGTATTGGGAACCATTCATTATTATTTATATCATGATCAGGTCTGGTGCCAAAATGTGTTTATGTAAATACCACCAAATACTAAGGTTATATAATATTCTATGTACATTCTTGTTAATAAAACAGTAATAAAACGATGATAATACATTTACATTTACATGAGCACTCACAACCTATTACTGAAGTTCAGCTCCCACTGAACTAAAAACTTATTACCTAGTCCACCTGAACAGGAACAGTGAAGTGAAACTGACATTTAATATTGGGCTTCTAACTATTTTAATGCAGAAATAGCTATGAAAAAGGTTCGTGCATTTGATACTTAAGCATTCTTATTTATAACGTGTCAAAAGTCTTCTTTTTAACTGTAAGTCCATTATTTTATCCATGCTGCCATTATTTTATTAATTTTTTAATATTAATTTTACAAGTGAGCGTGAAAACAGTACATAGACACGAGTACAATTTTTTGTGCACTCAGTTATGTCAGCTACATTAAGGGGGACAGAGACTGAATTGTGCTATTGACACTTATTAAAACATGCCAGGGTTTGAGGTGGTGAGACAGTGGACCCAAGGATGCAGACTTAATGTTTAAAAAAGGTAAATTTAATAACGCAAACAAAAGCCAACAGTAGAAAAATCCACAAAAAAAAAACTTACTGAGGAAACTGAACACAAAAATTATTACAATAACACTCAGACACAAACACTCTAAACACATTTCTGCAGGGAAAAAGATTTTATGGGGTGTCAAATCCTGCAAACACCTGCATCTTCCTCTTGTCACAAAGTTCAACACAGAACTCCTCGTGGTCTTCCTGCAAACTAAAAGTGAGCAGGGATGGTTCCCTCACATCTTTAAGCTCCTCAACAACGTCATCCAGGCCATCACACATGTGTAACATCTGTACTGCCCTCAAGGAAGATTCCTTGTCCATGGTGATGACCTGGGGAAGGGAAAGTTTTCCTTTGAAGGATCTGGTGCCACACCACCTTGCTGCCTCAAAGGTGTCCTTCAGTAGAGAATTCTCCTAATCAAAAGTAAACACAATAAATATTAAAATACAAGTTGGAGAAGGCAGAAACAGTGAAATTAGAAAAGCTCACAACAGGTAACATACTCGGTTCCCTGTTCCCCGCTCTGGCCTGTTCTCAGCCTCCGCCAGAAAAGAAACAGATTGTGCTTCTTAAAGGCATATTAACAATACAAAATGTAAAAAAGATCACTAGCTTATTTTTACCCTCCCACTGTCTTTATGGGTAACCCCACGAGGAAGGTGTTCCATTGAGCAGGGTTGATGGTTTGTCCCTTGTGTCCATGTGGCAGGGGTGAGGAGTGAGCAACACCTCACCCCTGCCATGTGGACCTCAAGGGATAAACCATCAATCCTGCTCATTGCTCAACTTTCCTCACGGGGCCACCCTTAAAGACAGTGGGAGGGTTATGCACACTGGTTTAATGTAAATGGAGTAATGACAGCAAAACTCGCTTTGTCACGTCCTATTTCTACAACCTTGGGGGTTGTGTGTAATAATACTGGTTTGAACAATACCTGATGCTTCACAGACAGATTCTGAAAGCCTGAACCTTTTAGGAGGGACCACTTCCAGATCCTGAAATAAGTGAAGGGATTATGCTTTAGTCTGCAAGCAATAGTTTGACTACCAGTGACGACCAACATCAATTTCCTGCACATTACTCAGATGCTGGCCATCAGAATGTGTAATGGTACCTTTTCAAGTCTGCTTAAATCACACAATTTCCTAATTAGTTGCTAACTAGTTAATTTGGTTTTACGTTATTCTTACTTTATTCTAACTTTATTCTTTATTCTTACTTTATTCTTCTCCTCCTTGAACCGTCACCTTATCGTGGTGGAGGAGTTTGAGTGCCCTAATGATCCTAGGAGCTATGTTGTCTGGGGCACTTTTTACCCCTGGTAGGGTCTCCCATGACAAATTGGTCTTAGGTGAAGGTTGAGACAAAGAACGGTTCACAGGATCTTTCATGGAGGTAAAGTCAAAGAGTCGGAGTACCCGGCCCGGAGGGTTACCGGGGTCCCACCCTGGAGCCATGCCTTGGGTTGGGGCCCGTGAGCGAGTGCCTAGTGGCGGGGCTTTCGCCCATGGGGCCCGGCCAGGCCCAGCCCGAACCGGATACATGGGCTCATCCAACTGTGGACCCACCACCCGCAGGAGGAACATGAAGGGTCTGGTGCAATGTGGATCGGGTGGCAGACCAAGGCGGGAGCCTTGGCGGTCAGATCCCCGGACAAGAAAACTGGTTTTTGGGACATGGAATGTCACCTCGCTGGCGGAGAAGGAGCAGGAGCTTGTGGCAGAGGTTGAGCGGTACCGGCTAGATATAGTCGGACTCACCTCGACACATAGCATTGGCTCTGGAACCCAAGTCCTTGAGAGGGGCTGGGCACTCTCCTTTGCTGGAGTTGCTCCGGGTGAGAGGCAGAGGGCTGGGGTTGGCTTTTTGTTAGCCCCAAGACTCTCTGCCTGTGTGTTGGGGTTTACCCCGGGGGACGAGAGGGTAGCTTCCCTGCACCTTCGGGTTGGGGAACTGGTCCTGACTGTTGTTTGTGCTTATGGGCTAAATATCAGTTCAGATTACTCACCCTTTTTGGAGTCCCTGGGACGAGTGCTAGATAGTGCTCCATCAGGGGACTCCATTGTCCTGCTGGGGGACTTCAATGCTCACGTGGGCAATGACAGCTTGACCTGGAGGGGTGTGATTGGGAGGAAAGGCCTGCCTGATCTGAACTTGAGTGGTGTTTCGTTATTGGACTTCTGCACAAGCCGCAGTTTGGCCATAACGAACACCATGTTCGAACATAAGGATGCCCATCGGTACACTTGGTACCAGGGCAACCTAGGTCGCAGGTCGATGATAGACTTTGTAGTCGTATCATCTGACCTGCGGCCGTATGTTTTGGACACTCGAGTGAAGAGAGGAGCGGAGCTGTCAACTGATCACCACCTGGTGGTGAGTTGGATCAGATGGCAGGGGAAGATGCCGCGTAGACCTGGCAGACCCAAACACATAGTGAGGGACAGCTGGGAATGCCTGGAAGAAGAACCTGTTAAGACGGTTTTCAACTCCCACCTCCGGCAGAGCTTTGACCGCATCTCGAGAGCAGTGGGGGACATTGACTCCGAGTGGGCCTTGTTCCACTCTGCGATTGTTCAGGCGGCTGTTGCTAGCTGTGGTTGCAAGGTGGCCGGTGCCAGTCGTGGTGGCAGCCCCTGTACCCGCTGGTGGACACCAGAGGTTCGGGGAGCCGTCAGGCTGAAGAAGGAGGCCTACAGGGCGTGGCTGGTCTGTGGGTCTCCGGAGGCAGCAGACAGGTACCGAATAGCCAAGTGGGGTGCAGCAGTGGCAGTTGCCGAGGCAAAATCTCGGGCGTGGGAGGAGTTTGGTTAAGCCATGGAGAAAGACTATCGATCGGCTCCAAAGAGATTCTGGCAAACTGTCCGGCGCCTCAGGAAAGGAAGGCAGCAACTCGCTCACACTGTTTACAGTGGGGATGGGGAGCTGCTGACGTCAACTGAGGCTATAGTCGGACGGTGGAAGGAATACTTTTAGGAGCTCCTCAATCCCACCTATGTGCATTCCGAGGAGGAACCAGAGCCGGGAGTCCTGGGGATGGACTGTCCTATCTTGGGGGCAGAAGTTGCTGAGGTAGTCAAACAACTACACAGCGGCGTAGCCCCGGGGGCGGATGAGGTTCATCCTGGGTATCTCAAGGCTATGGATGTTGTAGGGCTGTCATGTTTGACACGTCTCTGCAACATTGCGTGGTCATCGGGGGCATTTCCTGTGGAGTGGCAGACCGGGGTGGTGGTCCCCATCTTTAAGAAGGGTGACCTGAGGGTGTGTTCCAACTATAGGGGGATCACACTCCTCAGCCCCCCTGGAAAG